CCCCTCACCACGCTGCCAGCCGGGGGTCCCCTCACCACGCTGCCAACCAGGGGGCCCCCTCACCACGCTGCCAGCCGGGGGTCCCCTCACCATGCTGCCGGCCAGGGGGCCCCCTCACCACACTGCCGGCCGGGGGGCCCCTCACCACGCTGCCAGCCGGGGGGCCCCTCACCACGCTGCCGGCCGGGGGGCCCCTCACCATGCTACCGACCAGGAAACACCCTCACCACGCTGCCGGCCAGGGGGCCCCCTCACCACGCTGCCAGCCAGGGGTCCCCTCACCACGCTGCCGGCCAGGGGGCCCCCTCACTACACTGCCGGCCGGGGGGCCCCCTCACCACGCTGCCGACCGGGGGGCCCCTCACCATGCTACCGACCAGGAAACACCCTCACCACGCTGCCGGCCAGGGGGCCCCCTCACCACGCTGCCGACCAGGGGGCCCCCTCACCACGCTGCCGACCAGGGGGCCCCTCACCACGCTGCCGGCCGGGGGGGCCCCCTCACCACGCTGCCGGCCGGGGGGCCCCTCACCACGCTGCCGGCCGGGGGGCCCCCTTCCCCCGCTGCTGTCCGGTGAGGCCGCTCTGCCTCAGTCCTTGGGGCCACAGTGTGAGCTGTCTTGCACTCCAGTGCTGGTTGGAGGGGGTGCAGCTTGTGGCAGTGCTGGTCCAGCAGGGCAGCGTCATCACCAGGCACGGGGGACCCTCAGTGCTGGGGCTACTGCACCTGCCTCACTTAGTCAGGTAGCAGAGGTTGCCACGCACAGCCGTTCACGTATGACGTCTACTGGTGAACCGGTGACTGTAAAAAGGAAACTCACGTTTCTGCATCACGTGTTTGCACACGTGTGTGAGAACATGGGGCAGGTGTAAGAACTGCTCACTCCCATGGCCAGGACTGAGTGCTTCAAGCCCTCATCTGTGCTACGTGCTTAGCTTTTAAAACCAAGTGACTGTTGACCCCAAAAAGGTGACGTGCACCCTCGCACTGCCTCCACTCAGCCCTCACCTCCAAACTCATGTTAGCTGCTGCTGCTCATAGCTGTCCTGCCGTAGCATGGCCATCCCCCCCACCACACACCAGGACAGGGCTTCCCTAGCATGGTGTGGCCGCCCACCCCACAATGCGGCAGCCCACCCCACAATGTGGCAATTCTCCCTACCACCACCACAGCATGGTCACCCCCCCCACTGAGGCATGGCCATAACCCCCATCACCAGGGTGTGGCCATCCTTAACACCACTATGGCATGGCTGACCCCCACTGTGGCATGGCCATAGCCCCCCCTCACAGTGTGGCCACAGCTTCCACCACCACGGCATGGCCGTCTGCCCACTGTGGCATGGCTGTCACTAGCAGGAAATCCAGCGTGTATGTGCCTTGTCCACTCTGTGGCCTCCACCCCAGCAGGGCATCTGGCCGAACCCAGAAGGGCTGCGTGGAAGCCAGCAGGCACACCAGCCTGGGCTGTGTGTCCTCTCACCGAGACCGACCCCAAGAGGAGAGGCACCGGCATGCCCCCTCGCATGGCCATCTGCTGCCTTCTGAGTTGAGAACAAGCTGGACGAAGCGGAAGCTGTCTGCTGCCCGGTTTGTCTGCTTTGGCTTTGCTTCAGAAGCTGCGGCATGTGCTTGATCTCAGGTGGACAGCCCAGGTGTGCTAGTGAGAAGAGCTGATGCCGGTACAACAGGCACCCTGGGAGTGAAACCCCAAGCTGCACCCCACAGCCTGGCAGTCCCCACCCTGCCTCCTTGCCCCCACACTCTCTTCTGCTTTCTGGAGTGGTGGGGGCAGAGCGTGGCCCCATGGGCAGCCGCCTCACTCGGAGCAGAGCTGTGGCCACGTGGTCTTTGGGCTCAGCATGTGGACAGTGGGCTCCCGGTGAGCACTCTGGCCTCAGCGTCTTGCGGCCTCCCTCAGGCTTAGCTGGACCTGGCCAGGGTGTGCCTGTCCGCCCCTGCCTGGCGCCTGGATGGCAGGCTGCTCGGGGCCACTCCTGGGTCCTCACGCACAGAATAATCTGGAACAAGCCAGTCATTATGCGTGGTGTTGCCACCCCTGTGCCGTAGCGGGTCCTGCCGTGCGGGCTTGTGTGTTGCAGTGACATCAAAGCTCTGCCACTGGTAACTCAAGCACCAGCAGCGTCCACCTGTGGTGGACAGGACTCAATGGAACAGCCTGGCTATGGACCTCTGAAAATCAGCCCCTGAGAGCCATCTCGTCCCCACTGGCTCCCAGCCTCGGCCCCTGAGAGATGTCCTGTCCCCACGGGGCTCAGAGTGGACCAGCCTCGGCCCCTGAGAGCCGTCCTGTCCCAACAGGACTCAGAGTGCACTGGCCTTGGTCCTGAGAGGTGTGTCATCCCCACAGGGCTCAGGGTGGACCAGCCTCGGTCCCTGAGAGCTGTCCTGTCCCCGCAAGGCTCAGGGCAGACCACCCTCGGCCCCTAAGAGCAGTCTCATCCGACTTCAGCCCCAAGACTTCCCCTGCCTTCCCCTACTGGATGCAGGGCCCAGAGAACCCCAAAACAGCAGGTCAGGCGCTCATGTTCCAGGAACCAGAAGTTAGGATGAGAGGTGAAGCTGTCAGGACAGCCCTGAGTCTGGGGCAGTCCACAGCCTGCTCTCAGATTGATGGGGTGGTATTAATAAATTCAGGAGTCTCCAAATATGTATCAGTTATAGAACGATATAGTTCTATAGTTATAGAACTGACAGTTGTTTTCTCCAGCCTGCAAACATAGTTCTTTTGCCTGAGAATTCTTTTTCTCTTTTTTTTATTAAATTTTATTCATTTTAATGAACATTTACAGAGATTTGGGGGTTTCATTCATTCATTGTTGCACTATTTTCTCTAACCCTCCTCCCCAGTTCATTCTTCTCCCCCCCCTTGAAAGTGTTTTAATTGTCCAATTGCCACAGTGCTTGTCAAAGCCAGTTCTGATTAATCTCCTTTGTCAGTGTGTCCTTTGCCATTCCCTATCACTCCTCCCTGAGAGAGACTTCACCCTGATTCATAAGGAAAAGGGGATGGCGTATTCTCTTAGCTACTTCCTGCTGAAAAGGGACGCTGTAGGTTTCAGGGTAAAGATCTTCTCTCACTACTTTAAAGGGCCCCTTTGGCAATAGGAAACACATAGACTATTATGGAGATTGATTTTGGAATTTAGATGCACTGTTACCAATTGTGCTTAGCCGTACATGTTCATATCCTTGAAGATGTAACATGGAAGTGTTGCAGCCTAGAAGACACAAATTTAACAAGTTAAAAGTACATGAGTCAAAAATTGAAAAGCAGTAATATTCCAGGTAGAGGCTCTAATAGTGGCACCAGTCAAGTTGCAGAGGGAAGGTAGTTCTTACAATAAAAGGCCTATTGACTAGCACTTTGTCTATAAAGGTTAGGGATCACAAGATGTAGAGGTTCAACTATGTCATTTATTGTTCTTAAGTCCTGGAGCAAATTCCATCTACCACTGGGCTGTTTTACAACTCGGAAGTCTGCATGCAAGGCAGAGGTGAAGTAAGGAACTGCTTATGAGGTTTTCCGTCAATTCCAACAACTAAGAAATAGAAAAGTTGGGACCTCAGAAGGCTTTTAGGATCAGATAGTAGGCTCTTGTGTCCAGGAGAAAACGAATATACTTACCAGTAATGTTAATGCTCACCCACAGCTCTTCTGGGAGGATCTAAATCTAAATCGTTGAAGCGCCTTTTTCTCTTTCTTTAGCCTTGTAAAGTAGTTGAATCTGTCTGTATACCAAGAGAGAAAATGCACTTTGTTCACCAGGAGGGAAAAGGCACCCTTCCTGAATTAGCGTTTATCTTTTTAAAACCTGTTTTCCTTCAGAGGTTAACTATAGGTTGCCTGTTTACTAGTACTTATATATGAATGGTTCTTTTAAAATATAGAAATTCTGAAACCAAGTAACTTAGTATCTGACCCGTCTATAAAAACCTAATGATCACTTCCAGACGGGGAGGCAGTGTTTGAGGGGAATCTCACTGTCCTCCCACATCTATAATAAAGTACTTATGGATGTTGCAATCCGTCTGTCGTACAGTCAGTGACTATGGAAAGAATCCCTCGAGTTCAGTAACAAGGTCACTTGTCAGGGTGGTCCGCAGCCTGCCCACAGGGTGGCCCATGGCCTCCCTTTGGTCACAGCCTCCTCTGCACACCACTGGGAACTGAACTGTCACCATGACTTCCTCCTCCGAGAACTGCGCTCCACCATGGTGGGGCCTCCCCAAGGCAGCCCTCCCCTTGGCAAGCCACAACCATGGTGGTCCCTCTCAATGACAGGGTACCCCACGGCAGTTGCCACCTCCACAGCAAGGACTTCCACCATGGTGGCCACTCCCCTGGTTAGCCCCCACTATGGTGGGCCCTCCCCATGGCAGGACCCCCACGGCAAGCCTTCACCATGGTGGGTCCTCTCCACGGCGGTCACCCCATGGCAAGTCCCCATCAGGATGGGCCCTCACCACAGGGCACAGTCCACGGTCATCCCACACCTTGTGGGACGGGGTATAGCAAGTTCTTCACTCATGGTTTTGTGGGTCCAGTTCAAGAGCCTCAGGACTGGTTCAGGCTGGTGGACCAGGAGTGGCACGTTCTGGAGGGCAGTCAGTATCCCATGTCATCCACTCTAGTGGGCCTTCCCTCCACACGGGGTCTGCACAGGTTAAACAAGATAGCTGCAAACCTGAATGGCTCCCAAGGTCCTCTGCTAGTGAGGTGCAGCCTGCACCCTCTCCACCCCATGACCCCATGGTTCCTGTTGGCTCAGTAAAGACGTGTGCATTTCGGGGTGTGTGCATTTAGGGGTGTACATTTGGGAGTGTGCTTTTGAGGTGTACTTTTGGGATTGAGAAGATTTTAAAGGGCAGCTAGGGAACATGAAATGAAGCAGTATTAGAATGAAATGTTCAAAGAGCTGGAAATAGAGAATAAAAAGAGAAGAACTCACTCGGCATTGCTCAAACTGAGAGAATGGAGAACAAATTCAAGCCTCCAGTTGCAATATTGAAGGATGCTCTGGGCAAAATCCTGAATGATCGAAGAAGCATCAAAAAATATGGAGGAAAGAACTGAGTCACTGCATCAAGAGGACTGGCCATACAACCAAGAGAAGATAAAATAGATGAATGGGACCGTCTAAGAATCAAATCCCTATGCACATCCAAAAACTCTCCAACAGTGCAAAAAGGGAAGTCACAGACTGGGAAAAAGTGTTTGGTAATGACATGTCAGATAAGGGACTTATATCCAGAATTTATAAAATACTTGAGCACCACAACAAGATAAAGGTAAATAATCCAATAGAAAAATAGACACAGGATATGAACAGACACTTCACCGAAGAAGACATTCAGATGGCCAACAAGCACATGAAGAAATGTTCAAAATCCCTAGGTCCAAGAGAGATGCAAATCAAAACAACTATGAGATATCACCTCACCCTAGATAGAATAGCAAAATTTAACAGAACAGCAAGCAACAAATGTTGGCGAGGTTGTGGAGAAACTGGAACCCTTATTCACTGTTGGTGGGAGTGTAAAATGGTACAAGCACTGTGGAAGGTGGTATGGCGCTTTCTCAAAAAGATGCAAATAGAGATACCATTTGACCTAGCAATTCCACTACTGGGAATATATCCCAAAGAGACCATAACTGACACCCAAGCAGATATACGCACACCCATGTTTATCGCTGCTTTGTTCACAATAGCAAGGAGTTGGAAACAACCCAGGTGCCCATCAACGAATGAATAGCGAAGCTGTGGTATATTCACACAATGGAATACTATGCTGCACTGAAAAACAAGGAACTCATGCAATATTACTCAAAATGGGTGACCCTGGAGGACATTATACTGAGTAAAATATCTCAGTTACAAAAGGACAAATACTGTATAGTGCCATTGCTGTAAAATGGGACTGATATCAGGGTTGGGATAAGACTGAGAAAAACTGGATAAATTGTGTATACTGTACTGAAACAGATGAGGGAGAGAATAATTTAAAAGCGATGTATGATAGGGTATTATGGTTATCACAAGAGTCCACAATTAAGGTTGCATAGTGGAATGTACTTGGGGTGGTGGGAGGGGTGCGGGGGGATTGTGTACCAGGGAAGGAGTGTTTCTTTTACTTTTCAAAAAGAGGAGCAAACTGGGGGGTGGGGAGAGACGTGCAGCAATGAAAGAATGGAAATCCATCATCTCTGTAAATGTTCATTAAAATTATCTTTAAAAAGTTATTAAAATTTAAAAAAAAACCCAACAAGGGGAAAAAAAAAAGAACACCCCAGCATCAAGGACAGACCCAGTGACAGGATTCAAATGCGCCGGGACGTGCTCACCTGGCTATGCTAAGGTATTCAGAAGACAGATCTGGCCAACTAATTGGAAAAGATGCATTTTAGTTCTCATTCCAGAAAAAGTGATTCAATAGAAAGTGGGATTAATAAACAAAATCAGTAGTATCACATGCAAGTAAGTTCTTGCTGAAGATTATTTTAAAATGGCTAAAACAATGGTGGGCATAGTTCAGCACTGATTGATTTTATAAAATACAATTAATCAGAAAGGGGGGGGTAAACATGGCTAAAACAGTACATTGACAGAGAACTGCCTGGATTCAGAAGGGCCTAGGCTCCAGGGATATCATTGCTGATGTCAGACTGGCCGTGGCTGAGAGCAGAAAATACCAAAAGAATGCCTATTTGTATTTTATCAACTGCACAAAGGCATTTGCGCGGATCATAACAAGTTGTGACAAACACTGAGAGGAATGGAAATCCCAGAGCACTTGACTATGCTTATGTGAAACCTAGATCTAGATCAAGAGGCAGCTGTGCAAACAGAGTAGGGGAGCACTTGTTGTTGTTGATGATGGTGGTGGTGATAGGTACCATCGACTCAAGCAAGACTCATAGTGACCCTGTGATCAACAGGTCTGAACTCTGTTCTATGCTGCGCCATCCTCACACTTCCTGACACACAAAAGCCCACTGCAGCAGTCACCTTGTCACTCCATCTGGTTGGGGGTCTTCCTCTCCTTCA